TGCCCGGACGTGTTCGGCAAGGCCGATCCGCTACAAGATCGCACAACGTCTTGCAGTTGCCGACCAGAATCCCATACACCAGAATCCAGGTAAACATCCCCTAGCAGGTTAATGGGCTCATACCTGTTGGTAGGTTTCTTGTTGTAGCCCAGTAATCGATCCGCAGCCAGACAGAATTCCGCAGCCAAACGGAATCCAACCAGTGACCTCGGTTGTAGCCGCCTTATGCCTTTACATGTGGCAGGCCAAATCTTTGTTTTCTATGTTTTATTTTGTTTTTTCAAAGAGATTAGTACCATGGCAGCGGGGCAGGGCATACTGCACCTTCTCCGCCCATTCTCTGTAGCCCAGTTTCTTGCTTTTTTTTCCCCTTTCTTGGGAAGCAGAATTTCATTTTTTCGGGACTACTTCGGCGGGCAGTGCGTTTACACATGCGCTGCCCACCCATATCTTGAACTCGAGTGATGCACTGTGGATTTTTTGGGGCCATTCGCCCTTCTCCACCGAACCGCCACCAGGCCTCAGCACTGTAGATTATGGCCCGGTACTCGTATACGGGCAAACATGTACAGTGCCGCCTGCAACTGTTTTGTCATTGAATAACATGATACAGTTTTCAGTTCGGCGAGTGCTCCTTGCAACTGTTTTGTCATTGAATAACAGGATACAGGAATGGGTAGTAGAGTTCATGCTCTGATACATAAGCAAAAAGACTCTGTGCAATGAGCACTTCCCACACACATAGCAAGCGAGCAAAAAGCGAAAAGCAAGAGGGTTGGTGACCCTCATGAGAGTGAACCATACAAAGAAGACGCAAGCTATTGCACAATCTGACTTCCATGCACATAGAGAGAAAGCAAAGCACAAACAAAAACCTTTCAGGCGAAAGGAAACAAGTACTGATGATAAACATCCACACGATTCCACAAAGAATAAACACAAGGCAACCACCTCAGACAGCCCCCCCCCCCCCCCCCCCCCCCCCCCCCCCCCCCCCCCCCCCCCCCCCCCCCCCCCCCCCCCCCCCCCCCCCCCCCCCCCCCACCCCCCACAAACCCCCCCCCCCCCCTGGTTGCAAGCACTGCCCATGGCTTAGAAAGGAAAGAGACATCCCAGGCATCAAGCAGAATAATGTCTGACAAGCGCTCCATTGCTTATCAATGATGCCACCATGTGCACCAGAGTTCAGTAGAAAACACTGGAGGGTTCAAGGACCCCCTTGATGTCTGCCTGAGCTTAACTTCTTCCAGCAGACATGCCATTTTGACAACACTCCTAAACCCTCCCTCTTAACCCCCTTCACCCTCCCTCCCGCTTCCCCTCCCTCTTAACCCCCTTCACCCTCCCTCTTAACCCCCTAAACCCTCCCTCTCAACATCTCAATCTCTATGTCAAGGGCACTATTCACTTCACCTACGTTTGGATAAATGATCAATCACCACCTCTGCCTCACCATGAGACATACCCGAAAGTGCGCGCACCCCCGCCCCCCACCCAAAACGAAAAAAAAAAGAGAGAAGTGCCATTACCAACACGCTCTGCTCCAACAATCAAAAGTTTCAAAACACAGTCACAGTTCCTAGATTCTTCAAGCCATGAAAACGACAAAGAAACAATATCGCCAACAACTCTACTAACATGCACGTTCTTCCAAGGTAGGCCTGACCACCTCCAAATTCAGTGTGTTAGCCTTGGAGATCCCCACCCGCCAATGGGCCGGGCCTCTCATGATGCCAGTCAAATGTCGCATTTGGAAGGGCAGGCTTGTCCTAGACTCTTAACTACATCTGCCTTCCGTGCCAGGTGATAATCCTGATCACCTGGAAACCCATGCTCAACTATCCTGGGCCCACCCATACCGCTTCCCGTGCTTCCCACGCTTCCCACACAGCTGACAACTTCGGGACCTTGCCGCAAACCACCAGACACTCACCTCCAACCACATCCGCAATCTTTGCCTCTTTCACAAGTGGTCGGCCTTACACGCCTACAAGCGACCACTACGCTATAGTGAGTGCACCTGGGCAAGAGCTGGGCCCTTGCAAACTAAAAGCCTGCCTGCTCTGACTTTGCACAAAGTACCATTTCCAGTCAGTCCATCGTGTCATACTCACCATTTTCCCCCTTTCTCAGAAAACCAGAGAAGTATCTCTCTTCCCATCAAGGAGGCAACACATATGCACTTGGCTTTTTCGCACGATTCTGTTCCCCTTCCATCTTGCAAGTTGGCTGTTTTCCATGCCTCTCCATATCCTGTCCTGTGTGGGAGTCCCCATGTGCGAGCTGCCTCTTCATTTCCCTTCTGGTAAGAGCATTCTGACCCAGCCAAGGGGTGTGGATGGCAAGCTTCCTCCCTCTTGCGTTATATATTACATTAGCAATTTAGCCTGCATGTAATAAGGGTTTTGAAAAAACAGCCTTTCTAATGAACGACCGTGCTCAAAACTGCTGGAACTCTCCTCCCTCCAGCCGCTTCGTTGGCCCGGCTCATCGGGCACAGTGGACGTATACTACAAAGAGTCTATACACTCTATACTTCTGCCAAACACAGACCAAAGACACACAGGAGAGAAGGAACTGAAAGGCAGGTAGAAAAATGATTGCATTTGCGAGGTGAAAGCTGATGATCAATTACACTACACGAACTTCTTTTGTGTCCAGAGAGCTGCGAACAGCACAACACCATGTGTATACCGTCCGCTGGAGCAGACTGATTGTATGCCCATGCATAGCAGGACCTAGCACACCACGATCAGCATGTTACTTTGTGCCAGAGTAATTAGTGCGGCCAGATGTGCAGCCTGGAGTGGAGAGAAAAAATCAAACGCACAGAATTGAGATGATGTTGAAGATCAGGGTGTCATTGCGAGTCAGTCACTGATGAAGAGGTTTTGCCATCACAAGAGATGGACCTCTGATATGACAAGGAAATGAAACGAAAAAGAATCCAATGACATCGATTAAATTGGAGCATGTGATAAAAGACATGCCCAGCAGGATTGAACAGGCACAAGGAGCGATTTGATTGCCGCACATCTGAAGAACACCGCAGTGCTTCCGGGGTTGGCCTCAAGCACCCACCCTTCTGAAAAGTGTATATACATTGGACCAAGTGCATGTGTGATCTACGGGGGGCATGAAAGGGAAAACAGACGGCGATAAACAGGCCTACAGAAGCGGATTTCATCTCGTCCGCTGCAGAAGTAGGCTGGGCGCCTAAGGATGCATGTCTCCGACACAAATGAATAACTCAAAGCTGTGCTTTGATGCTCCAATGACTTAAGCAATCACGGAAAGGAGGATTCGCACAGCTGCAACCAGAAATACCAGAGGAGAACTTGATCATCTTCCTCCGCAATTGCCACGCCGTTCTTCCCAAGAGCATACAGTCACCAATGCTTTGCAAAGATATTTTCTTGCTTGTACAGACAGCACACAAAGTTCTACAACCCCCTGACTAGCACGCCTTATTTCCACTCAGGGTCTCCTTCTTTCTTACAAGTTGGGGGAGTAGACGCGGTGAATTTTCACCCATTAGCAATGACCATGGGGTTTTATCAAGCGTAACCTGCATTGAAGTCACCTTTAAGTAAGCTTTTCGTCTCTACGGCACTTGGTAAAAACGACAGATATGGACTGGCAAGGGAACGACAGCCTTCAAAGCTCAAACATCACTTACAGGCATACTTCACGTTTGCTGCTTGGGAGGGTTATACTCCTCGTCCATGTACGTCAAAATCCTCGCCAACCTTTGTGCAATGGCGCCATGGATGGGAAGGACTGATCTCCGGCTTGGAAAAATCGGGCTGAGCGTTAGCCAAGACAAAGCATACATGTCCGCTGCGATGGCTTCGACAAGTTGCCTTGCCTCCAGCTTCATGACAGAATCTTGCTCAGCTCTAACGTCGCCCAACTCCTCTTCACCCTTGCTTCTGACAATTCCCCTTGTGCTGGCCTTTCCGAGGCCATCGGTGCTACTACCGCCGCCCATGGACATCCCGGGATCGGCACCAACAGCTGTAGTCGCAGTTGCAGCAAACCTCGTACCCGCCCTACCAGTAATCCCAGGCGAATCCGGCAACAGGGGATCAACAGCTGGCACATGATGCGACATTAAAGACACTCTTAAATTTAGGGGCCATTCTTCTGTTGCTCCTTTCGACATTGGATTTGACAACGGGCTGCTGCTCACACTGGAAATGACAAGAGCAGATGCTGCTGGAACAGCTGAGCTTGCTTGCCGTCCCCAGGGTTCATTGAATGCGCCTGGCACGGACGACATCGCCTGAGCACGGGGCGCAAGAAAATGCAGCGAATGAGAAGGAACCATTAAGTATGCCCCCTGAGCAAGAGACTTGACTGGTGTTATTCCAATTGATGCAATGGCCTGACCTGCATTGATTGCTGATGACCGCAACTGCGAAGCAGTGGGAATGCTGGCTGTGAAACACACAAAAGACACACACACACACACACACACACACACGCACACACACACACACACACACACACACACACACACACACACACACACANCACACACACACACACACACACACACACACACACACACACACACACACACAACGTGTCAGGTCACAGAAGAGACAGAGTGCACATGGTTCATCAAACACACTGAGGAACTGCAGAGCTTTGTTGAATGCTCCTGACACTCAGGACACAGCCCGGGCGCATGGAACAAGAAAATGTGATGGACGAGACCGATCCACTAAACATGCACCGTGAGAAAGAGACGAGACTGACGGTATTCCAATCAATGTAAGATCAGTCCTGCGTTGATTGCAAGTTGGCGACTACAAGCAAAAGTGGTTATGTCGGCAATCAACAAACAAAAGAGACAGATGCATAAACATACACAGTCAGATCTTAGAAGAGATGGTGAGGGCACACCTTGTGGAGTGTGCCATTTGTCAATTTGTATTGGCTGGAAAAGTCGCAAGACGATATATTCCATAATGACAATAACGAAAAGAAAACAAGAAACCAAATTATAGCGAAATGCAGCAATCTATACTGACGTAATTCGACAATGGCAATAATGAAAACAAGACAACTAACAAGACATTCCACACTGTGCGATGCCTTTTTAGTTGTCTTATCGTTGTTGGGACCTCGTGAGTTTGTCATGACGCATCTTTGTTACTGCCAAATGTTTTTTTTTTTTTTTTTTTTTTTTTTTAACAAAAACAACCCTCACCAGTGCTAGAGGTGCTAGCAACAGCCTGCTGCCTTCTTCAATGAATCACTGGTGCTTTTGCAATTCCAACTGTCCTTTTAGCAATCTCTTCCAGTCCGATCTTGTTAATTACCACTTGCCGGGGAAAAGGAACGGGGCTGAAGCTCCCCGGAATGGATATGGAGCCGGAACCATAACGGCCTGTTTTTTTTTTTAAACATAATAACAAAACGCTACTTTTGGGCATACGCATGTAGGAATAGAGGAAATTCCAGCAGATTATATTCACCATGATGTAACAAAAAATCAAAATGGAAACATTTGATCCTCGGATACCTTATAGGTGCTCCCTTCAGTCACCCCTTCCACACTGTTGGTGTCATTTCTTTCTCCAGCTTGTCTTCATCCGCATTGAGCGGCCTTACGTTGTGTCCGTCATGGATTCTTATGCTCAGTGGATTTTCCTGTGTTTAGCTGCTTGTGCTAGCTTCGCATGCTCATTGCCATTGAGTTTCAATCTGAACAAGACCTGTCTATGCATTGTGCATATCTGATAGCTACACATCCAGTCGCCGGGCTGCTTCAGCAGTGCTGAAAATTTGGTCACAGGCCAGAGGCCAGCGATACTATGGGCTGAGATATGGTAGAAGAAGCACATCTACGTTTCCGTTCATGTAGGGGAAGCACATCTAGCCCCTGAAAAAGCCAGGGCTGCGATGGGATCCTGTTCCTGGTTATGAAGTGGAAGATAGAGCAGGAGTTGATCCATTTCTCCTACTCCCTCTGTCTTCTTCCCCTTTCTCCTTCAGTTGTGGCTTCTTAAAGATCGACCTTCCAGTCCACCCCTTCCCATCGTACCCAAAAAATACCCTTTGGCAGTTCCTCCCTCTCCACATCCAGGCTCTTATGGCAGAGAGATGACCAGTCAGCAAACTGTTGTGGATTCATCCCTGACTGGCCATACATGTGCAAGCAAAAGCATCAGGGGGAGCAGCAGAAGGACACAGAGAAGACGACATACAGGGTGAC